TCACAGAATCATGGCAAAGGCTCCTGTTTCCCTGCTCTCTGCTGGTGAGAGAGGCTCTAACAAGGTCACAGGGTGCTGTGGGTCAGCAGTGGCTGTGGCATTTGGGTGGGTATGACTCGGGTCTCAGCTCCTGTCCTCCGTGTGGGTGGACACTGGCTGCTGGAGTGGGCCTCTCTTCCTGATGAGCATGACAGCATCCTGCCAAGTGCCAAGCTGAGAAGAGCATCGGTGCTACTCTCCAGTCCTGATTAGTCACTGCCCAGTTGCAGGGAGGCAGAGGAGGACGGAGGAAGCAGCAAACAAGTGCAGTTGTCACAGCAGCCTAAGCCTACCCCATGTCCAGGCACCCCTGCCAGGACGCCAGCCCCACGGCCCACCCCGCTGTCCCTTCCTGGCTGTGCCGTGTGGCCAGGGCAGCACCGCCCGTGCTCAGGCCCCCTATGCTTCCTGGGCAAGGAATGCAGACGCTCTTCCCATTACAGCTGTGCTGGAACCACCCCCAGAAAGGCGAGACCCATCCTTGGGGTTCCCGAGGTCGGCCTTTCCCAGGCGGTGCCCTCCACGCCACAGCTCACCGGTTTCCCTGAGCACATGGCTGTTTCCCACCATGGCTCCCGGGGAGCCGCCAGGGTTCATCTTGTCTTGTCTCTTTACGGCTGCTGTGACTGTGCCCCAACCTCGCAGGGGCACCAGGTGGGGGAGGGCGGTGGCTGGGCCCATCACCCAGTAGCACAGTAATGAGAGTACATACCTGGGTTCACGCACAGAGCTGAAAGGGGCCTCTAAAAATATGTGCATGAATTTAGAGTAACCTCCATGGATAAAATGCTGTATGAGTTCACCCAGGAGACAAGGCAGCTCTTTCTTTTTTGGGAGATTAGAATGAGGTGCATGCCTTATGCCGAATAAAGAGGGGAGCAGGCTTTTGATATTTGTGTTTGGGGCCCAAGGACCAGGCTGGGCTGCGTCCGGTACAGGGTGTAGATTGTACATACGTGAAGTCAGCGGATAGGCAGACTTCTCCATCCGTGTCAATTAGTATGAATTAGTGCTGTCTTCTCCTAATGTAAATGAGACTCTGCACTAATGGTGATGAATCCATGATGTGTTGAGTTTAATTCTGATCTACACTATGGATTTTTTTAATGGGTGTTCCTGGAGGGGACAGGTAACACAGATCAAGTCCTGGCACTTGTGAAAGTGCACTTCTTATCGTAGCGGGTTCCAGGGACCTAGGGGAGGTGGACTGTGGAGACGCTGAGGAGAGACAGGACGCAGGAGGTGAGAGGTCTCCCGTCTGGAGCTGCAGGCTGGCAGGAAGGGTGTTTCGACATCCTGAGCCCCCGTTGAGTGCCCAGTCCCACGCTGGGCGTGTTTTACTGCACATGGCACCAGCAACAGCTCAGCTACCTTCCAGACGAGGGTTAGATGAGGAAACCCTGGTGCAGAGGGTGACTGTCTGGCGTAAAGCCACACTCCTCCAGCCATGGCAAGCCGGAGTCAGACCTTCCCTGAATGGCCAGTGTCCCCTGTCCTTCCTTCGTAGCTGGAGCCTTTCACTCCAGGGTGGTGGAGTTCGGCACCATCAGCTGCCTGGTGCCTCCAGGCCTGGAGTCACGGCCTTAGCACAGACCCCATGCGTGTGGGCCCCACGCGGCACCCAGCACAGCTGTCCTGAGGCCGTCCTCAGCCTCCTCATCCTCGCCAGGCGGAGCGGTGCCAGATCCCCCTCATGCCCTCCCTTATTTCTCTCTGTGCACCCACTGTTTCCTGAGGGTGTCTGGGGTCCAGGACGAGGGCCTCTCATGCCTCCTGTCTGCTGCTGACTCCTGCCCGCCACAAGCTCAGCCCCACAGAGTGGGGAGGGTGCGCGTCCACAGCTCACGGCCCACGTGGCAGCTGCTCACCTCGGGTGTGACCCAAGAGGCCTCTACTACCGCAGCCCACCCGCCATCCTGGGCCCCACACCCCTCTCCCTGCAGCGCCTGCCTGCGCTCCCCAAGAGCCTGTGCCCACTGTGGGACCTGCCCCCCAAGTGGGGGAAATGCCCTCTCTCCTCCCACCTCGTCCCAGGGAGGCTCTGAGGGTTTCACATCTCAGCCAAGCTCTCTGTTTGCTTCTTGTCTGTGCTTCTGCTCCATTTAATAAACTTCATTCCAGCCGTCACACTGTTGTCCCATGATCACCTGTTTCAAACGCTGTCTTCCTCTTCAACCGTGAGGTTTCCAGACCAGAGAGCGGCATGTCTCACGCATTTCTGTCACATCACCTTCTCCTATGACCGCCTGATTAACATTCGTTCACTTCTACCTCCTACCTCTCTGTGAAATCCACAACACCTGGGCAGCGTCTGTGGTCCCAACGCGCACACTTGCGCAGGACTCACACACTTCTGCAGGGCGTCCGCGTCCGTGTCCACAGGGCTGCTGACTGCGCGGCAGGACTCCCCCGCCTGGATGGGGGCGCAGCGCACACGGGAGGCCCTTGAGGCGGCCGAGGCGGGGAGGTCTTGGAGCGGGTGGTCAGGGGGCGTCTTCAGGAGTGAGTGTCACCACGATAAGGCCGGCAGGCCGCTCGGGCGTGGGCCACTGCTCCGGGCTCAGATTGCTATTGAGAGTGTGTTTCTGCCATCAGTGACGCTGCTGTCTGGGGACGATGACCTGTGTGAGCAGAAGTTGGGGCTCGAGCCCCACGCACTCTTCGAGGCTGAGTTGCCACGTCAGAGCATTAGCTTCTGCTCTGAGACTCCAGCATTTTCCGTCCAAGGGCTCCCTGGAGTAACTTACTTCAATTCAAACTTCACCTCCCCGAGGATGGGTTTGCAAGAAAGAACCGAAGAACCACGGCCGCTCACCTTTCTAATTAATAATTCCTGTAGCTCATAACAGGGGCCAGCGAGGGGCCTTTATAGAGAAAAGGTGCTGTCAAAACGCACTCCATAGCGGCCAGTTCCATAGCTTTACGTCCCAGGCTCGTGACACGCAGAGTGACAGTTTCTCACTTATGATTTAGTAGGGAATTTTTTTTCTTAAAAAGGATGAGGCCCAGATGCATTAATAATTCAATTTGAAAAGGCATTTGCTTAAGACTTTCATTCTAGAGACGTTACTATGCCACGCGCTGAGCTGACACCTTTGTTCTGGAGGCTTTTGAATGATCTTTGAGTCATAAGATTTGAATTCATTGAAAGTATCGGTGATTATGCTATTAAGCATACTGTGTTTTGAATTTGCTGGGTAATTTTAAATATATATAATCTGTAGTGGTGGTGATTAAATCTATTCAGAATATTCAGACTTGAATTTGTGGATCAGTTTTGGCGCAGATTTTGGTCATCTCTTGGTGAGCAAGTGGGTGAAACTAGGCAGATCTAGGCAGATCCTGAGTGAGCCCCTGGGGGACAGGAAGCCCCGAGGGTCTGTGGACAAGGATGGGGCCAGGGTCTCGTCCTGTTCTGCACGTGCAACTCAGAGCTACAGGGAGGCTGCTCTGCTTGCTCCGTGGCTGTGCTCCATGGCCTGAGTGGTGGGGGTCCCAGTACTGCCGGGTCTGCCCATGGACCTCCCTCCAGTTCTGTGGCAGGTCTGGGGTCTGTTCTGCCCTGTCAGAGTGCTCCAGGTCAGGCTGTGACCCTGCATGTCTTGTGTGGGGCCTTGGGCAGTCCCCTGTGGCTCTCAGCTCCGTGGCCCCACCCACACAGGAAGGCAGGCAGCAGACGCCAGTGCTACCTGGCACACATGCTCAGCACCAGGTGCCTGAGTGTCCTGCCGAGATCTCTGTAATCAAATTTAGAAACTTCTCGATTAAATAAAATTAAGTGAGCTCCTTTATCCTGAGCTCTTCAGAGCTTCTAATTTGGGAGTGGCTATAATAGATTTGCCTTCAAGGGCTATAATAGGCAGCCTTTATTTTTTGTTTGGGATAAATAAAACAGAGCTACAACCCAAGATGTCTTCAAGTATCTTGATTCTAAAATAGGCTTTCGGGGCTTAGCCTTCTTATTCAAAGCGCTTTGTGTCTCTATGACTCAGTGGCATCTTTTCTGGGTGCCTGCTGCCACCAACTCTCCTTGGGAAGAGGAAGTGCATCCCTCCCAGACTTCTGGGCCCACGTGGGCATCAGGGCTGCCTGCGGCCATTTCCACGATCACTGCCCTTGCAGCCCACGGCTCTCCGCACCGTGGGTTCCAGCGGTTCTCTCTCTGGCCTTCTCCGTCTGTTCCCCCACAGGTGTGTCTCTGGGGCAAACATGTCACAGTGCCTTCTGCACCCACAGCCAGCCTGGGAGACTCAATCAAGGCTAAAGTGTGCCTCCCTCCACTCCCCAGAGAAGCCTCGTCCCCTGCATGGACCTTCCCGAGGACAGGAGCAAGCTGGGTCTACCTGGGTTCCCTGCCACAAAGACCTCACACCTGTGTTCATGGTGCACTCGCTGTGACCTCCCTGTGTGATTGCAAATTGTAGACACCATGACCCTCAGCACCTGTGACTGTTCTGCAGAGCTGTGTACACAGCGGTGGGCCTGCCATGGGGGACCCAGCAGTGTTGGTGGATTTTGGTGTTATTACTGAAGTATAATGTTATACTTTGGCTTACACTTTTAGTGCCTGAAAGGAGATATAGCAGAGTTGTAGTCACTGTAAAAGTTTTGATATTGAAATTGAGCAATAAAATATACCACTCTCGTTTCACAAAATTATTTGTGTTGAGCAAACTTCATACGCAATTGTGAAAATGTATTTGCTGTGTGCATATGTATGTGGCACAGAGGGCATTACTTTAATAAAATGGAATGTAGAAGACATTTCCAATGGTAGCTGTTTAAATGAAGTTTGCTGAAGTGTAAGGTCAGAACTGACTTTGCTCACGGGATGCCCGGGCACAGGTGTGCTGCGCTGGCTCCCCAGCAAGTTGCAGTTCTGTTGTTGCTGTTGTTTATTTAACAATATAATCTGCAACTGCACAGGTGTAATGGCCTCTCTCTATCTCTTATGTTTTCAGAGTCGCAGTGCACCCTCTGCGGGGAGCCAGAAGGTGAGTACCTGACTGACACCTGCCCCAGGTGGGCAGCACCTTGGGGGGGGGAGCCCTATGTGGCCTGAGGCTGCATTGATAGCGACAATCTGCTATGAACTGAAAACGTGTTCCATTCGCTGTTTGATAAAGGGTGACTAAAGTAATTGAAGCAAATATAGGACGAGTATTCAAAATCAGGACTTTGTCTCTGAAAAAACGGACATTACAGCCAGACTACAATATTTTCTTCTTGTTTTGGATTTACAACTTTTGGCGGCTATCTCCAGACAGTAGGTGCCAATACATACGTACTGGCTAAAGCCATTTAAAAATGAGACCTGTGAGGCCATGCTGATTGTCGGTGAGGACACCCGAGTGGGGGTGTATGTGGAATTGCTGGTAACCAACAGTGTTCACCATCATTATCATTTAAAGTTCAGCTTAAGTTTCATGTGTCTAAAATACATCTAAAAGTGAGGCTCTTGAGTCCATAATTTGTTAACTGTGCTCCAAAATAGCAAAAGCCAAAATTTACGTGATATTTTCCAATGGTGTAGTTATTAATAGAAAGAATCAAGAAAATGTGGTAAACACCTAACTCTGGTAGAGGGAGACTCTGAATGAAGCAGACTTTTGATTCTGCAGGCTTTCAGCAAAAGGAGGCAAGTTGGCTAGAAAATTGCTCAGCCTCAGGGAGCTGGTGACTCCGGTAACCCCAGGAATGTGCCCTCGGGTCAGAGTCCCGCCAGTTCTGTGCCACGTGATGTGATGGCCGCACCATGCGGCACTAAGAGCGTGAGCGGTGGAGACGGACACGTACTCAGAGCTTCGGAAGCCTAATCATGTCCATTGGAAAGACATTTGCCTGCAAATTGGGGGCGAAAAGTGATTATAGGGTTAACTTGAAATTCTGTCAAACACTCCATTTCCCTGCTTTGTTGGTTAATGGTGGTATCATGACAAAGTTTTCAGAATTCTTCCTGGTATATCTGTGAGCATATGATGTATGCACTGAGCCATGGCAATGTCTACTAATGCCCATTGTAAAGTCCTGAGCTTCACTTTTATGCAAAACAGCACACTTTGGACCCCTGGAATTTCCAGGGTCAGAAGAAATGTGGTGTTTCAGAGTCAGGACCACTGTCCCAGGAGGACCTGGGTGAGGTTGGTTGTGCTGTAGGGCACCTCGTGCTGGGAAGCCACGGGTCCTTCCTCTGGTTGTTGCAGAAGTTGATGAAATCCTCTAACCTGTCTCGTGTCTGTGGGGCATCAGAACGTTTTATTATTCCTGACCATTACAGTCTCCATCGCTGTTCCCACCATGGGGACGTGTGTGTCATGCTGTAGCTCCGTGTCTAATCCTCTTGGCCCCGCCCCTTCATTGAATGTTTTCTGTGAGCTGTGTCTACTGGACAGATTGTCAAATATAATACCTCGTTAAGAGCGGTTTCAACACATTGCATCATGTTCTCTGTCTACTTGTTTCTAATAACAAATGTCTGCTCTCGGCCAAAGACCGTGGCCATGGGGTGTGTTTTGCTATATGCTGCTTAGTGCTGTCGTTAAGAGAAGATTTGGTCTCAATAAATCTGTATAGATCATGTTTGGAGATGAGGGTTTGGTCAAATGAAGGCCTCTGACGTCCTCACTCAGGGGTGATGCTGGTCCACGTTTGTGAACATCCTTCCTCATGGGTAGGACCTCCTGTGGGGGCCGTAGCATTGTGGCGTGGGCCGGCTCCCCTGGGGCAGTGCAGCCCCAACACCAGCCGGCAGACCAGAGCCGCCGTCCTGGGCCATCCAGGCGCTTCCCTCCAGGAGCCTGCCTTCACTCAGCGCCTACATCACAGCTGCGGTGAGCCCACACCAAACGGGTGCAAGTGCCACAGAAGAGGGATGAAACACGTTCTTTATTGCCCTTGAGGTCAGATCAACTTGTATTTAAAGTGAGACAGACTCGCTCCATATAAGAACAATCCCCACTGTCAAGCCGGGCAGACCTGCAGGCTGGGAGGTTCCTCAGCCAAGGTGGGGTCAGAGGTGTGTGGAGAATTTGAGGTGCACGTTGGGGGACAGCCCTCTGAGCCGTCCCAGTGCTTTGGATATGCAAGTGGGGTTGCCCCAATCAGAGGAAGGGAGGAAAGAGCTGATGGTAAGGTCTCAGCTGTGCTTTATTTTCTGAAAAACACTATCATATGAATATTCATGCATTTTAAAAATCATTTAAGTAATTAGTGTAAGTGAGAATTGGCTGAGTGCAGCGAGTAGAATCTGAAATCAGCTTTCTTGTTTGGTAATTTCATCGGCAGCTTCCATCAGCTCACACAGGCCGCCCGGAGGTTTCAGAGCCGGGTGCGGCTGAGTGCGCAGCTGAGCACTGGGTGTGCGGCGTTTATCACTTCCAGAGGGTTAAAGCGTCAACTCGCTGAGCTCCCCTCTTTCTTGTCAGAAAGCTGTTACCAGCCTTCATGGCTAAACCAGCAAAGTGGGAAATACCTATTTGCATTTTAATGATTAGTGCTTTTGCAGGGAGCTAGTTCTTTGGATACAGATTGAATAATTAGCCTTGTCTCTGATGATAATATCTGTCACACAAATGGGGCTGGGAGCAAAGTTGACAGGGTGCTGGAGAACTCGGAATCCCACGGTTGTGGGTCTCTATAATGGTGTGGCCTAGTTTTCAGAGAACTTAAATTTTTAATTGTGTATGAAACGATCTCAATAAGCAAATTACTTACACATTTCATACTGCAAGGTCTCTAAAACTTGGAGCACTGTATTTATGAGATGAAAATGTTTAATGGATTCATTGTTGTTTTCTAGTACGTTTCTTCCTACCAAAAATGCACAGATAACCCCACGCCTAATGCTCAGTGCAGGGCTGTAGGAAGGTGGGGGGCGCCGTGGTAACCAGGCCCCCTGCCATTTTCGGGGTATCGTTAATGCCATGTTCTGTTGTGAAACACCCTCTCCTCAAATAAATGATAAGAATAAATTTACTAAGAACAGTCTCAGTTATTATAATAATTTACCAATTTAATACTGATGGTATTAATTTGTATCATTTTCCTCATGGATCCTGTTACCTTGTAGATAGCAGAAGTCACTAGATATTGTACAGCAGTAAGATTGTGTGCTCATTAATCTTGACATAGCAAGAATCCCCATGTGATATAATCTGTCAAATTAATATAAGAAAGTACTTTGAGCCCATGATCTTTCTCAAGCTGTATGGCAGGCACATGATACCATTTGCCTTTTAAGGAGACCGCAGAAAACGATGGGTGCCGGGTGAGACCACAGATGTCAGTTCAGGACTCATCTGTTTGCATTTTTATGGTTTGACTTGTCCTCATAGAAAATAGATTTTCTGGTGTGGGAAGATGGCTAATGATGCCTGGCAGGGTAAGAGAACTTATTTGAAATCCAGTACAATGTAAGAACAATGTTTCAGATCTATGTTATTCAATCTGACTAAAACTAAGAAATAAAATAAGCTATTATGATATGAATTTGACATGAAAGAATATGCTACTAACATGTTAGGATAAATTTTGGCATGAAGGATTCTTCAGCAATATGGGTCTTAATATTATAAATTTAAGAACAGTGGATCATTTTGGGGGGTATCAGTATATACTGGATTATTTGGGAAATGTTTCTATACATTTCAGTCCAAAAGCAAAACTCATATTTAAAAAAATTCATAAAAAGTTTAAGGTAAGATATTTTCTTTCTAAATTTATTTGAGTTTGGTTTTGTTTTTACTTTGATTAATTTGAAACCACAAAATGCATGCTGCTCTGGATATTTGGGGCAGACATGCAGAATCTTATATTTTGCTAGGACTAGGAAGAACCAAAGCTACTACTTCTCCCTCCATAAATCATGACTAAGAAACAGTGGAAAATGTTTCCTATAGTTGGTAGCATTGTGTTCTTGATTTTTAAATACAAGATATTCAAGATTTTTTCCCACAAATGACTCTGAACAATGGAAAATATCCTCATTGTTTGTGTACCTTAATTGAATATGTGTCATCTCAAGATTTTGAGACTTCTTAAAAATTGAAAAAAAAAATAAGGTTGCTTTTTGAAAACTGGATATTGAAGGGTTTAGGAAGAATCCTCCTGTCTACCCGCAGCCGTCTCTGCTGCCTGTTTTCTGAACCGCTGCTCTGTCTCTTCTTGAGATCATACCTTTTAATTGTACGCTTTGGATAAAAGTGATATTTTCTGATTGCAGTTAGTGTTTATTAGTGATTATTGTTGCTTGGGTGCTTAGGAACTAGAGAATTCAACAACTTTTTAGAGGAAACAGTTTCTGCTCTAGCCAATCTGTCTTCTAGGACCTTAAAATGGTTAGCATTTTAGTGGAGATTGGAACATGATCTCTAGGGTGAGAGAGAAGACGATTCCTCTCAAAGGCTTATGGTGCAGGATTTTAAAGAGAGGGAAAACTGAGTTGAACTCAACCCAGTTCCCACTAAAAATAAATACAAGTGCTATATAAAATATAACAAAATTAATTTCAATGCATAACTGAGCTTGGAAAAGAAAGACTGCAAAGAGAGAAAGAAAGGAAGGAGAAAAGGAAAGGAAAGAAAGGAAGGAAGGGAAGTTCTAGAGTCCTAAGAACTAAGGAAGAATATTCAACCATAGGATAAGCATGAGTTATCCCTTTAATAGCGCCTGAGAAACACAGCCCAGACAGTGGCTGGGCTGAGCTAGAGTTCCGACATGGGCAGGTGAGGCGGGGGTGGTGGAGACGCCAGAGTTAAACCCAGGTGATCACCAACATCCCTATTTGGAAGAAAAGAACTGGGAAAACACTGGCTCAATCGAGTATAGAGGAAGGTTATCACACGTCCAAGGCAATGGGTAGAATATAAAGTTACCAACAAAAGTACATACTCCAGGCTTGGATTTGAGGTCTGAATTTCCACTACCTAGATGTTGCAGAAGACCACATGGTGAAATTCATGTGAAAATGGTTCTAGAATCAGTTGTGATGCTATCA